TATTCCAGAACATGGGAGGCTTTTATAGATGTTTTCTGGCAAAGTCTAATCTGGCTTTCCTGTTCTTGAATGTTACCAGTGGTTTGCACCTTGTTGTAAACCCTCTGTATTTACATTCATGAAGGTGTCTCTTGATTGTAGATTTTGACAATGATACGTCTACCTTCTCCAGAGTATTCTTGACTTCTGTTGATGTTGTGAAGGGGTTTTTCGAACAGCTGCCAAATGCCAACTCAATAGTTGATGTCAACTCCAGACTTTTTATCTGCTTCATTTGTCTAGAAGTAACGAGGGAATGGACCGCACCTGGTCAATTAACCTCTTGTCAGTCAATTGTCCAAATACCTTTGAGCCCCTGAAAATGGAGATACTTTGCTTTAAAATGGCTGTAATTCCCAAATGGTAAATGCCATATTTTTGTGGAACCTCCTAAAATAAAGCTGAAAGTCTACACTTCGATCACATCTTGATTGTTTTATTTCAAATCCATTGTGGTGGTGTATAAAGGCAAAATCACAAATACTCCATCATTGTCCAAATACTTACGGACCTTTGTCTTTCTTTTTTTTTTACATTTATGTAACTTACATTAACTCGTCTCAAAATGGGTTTCAAAAAAGATGTAACAGATAAAAGCCAATGTTTTCAGACACTAGCATGTTTCATTCCATTTTGAGAAAATGTGTTCTATCCTAATACACTGAGTCCAAATCCATACTGATTTCCTGTCCAAGCTTGATAACGTCACAGCTAGGCCAGACTAAATGACATCTGAAACCTTCCTCTTACCCTTGAGGTCATGGCTGTGTGGTTCTGTCGCACAGTGTGATGCATGCCCAGAAAAGCAGGCTGATTGTGCTATCTCTTCCATGCCAACACCACGACTGAGCTCAGTTTTCACCACATGTACAGACTAATTAGGTCTTCAAGATGTGCCATTACTAAGCATTATGCCAACTCAAGCTGGCATAGCAACAGATGTTGCAGTTATGAAGTTTATCATTTGAATACAGGATTTGAGGTGCTTGAAGATGGAATATAAGGTTGATAAACTGTTTATTGAAGAACTTCGGACAGTAAAAGTGACTTTGCACACTGGTGGTGTTGATTTCATCACCTTCTGTCGAATCAAATCTGAGTTTGTTAAATGATGACCCGGTGTTTTTTTTTTTTCTGAATCTACAGTCTGTTTCTACCAAAGACCTTTGGCAACCAATAGTAATCAATGTAACTATAGCTAATGCTTTCAAATCTCACTGCCTGCACTACACACATGATCAAAGCGTGATCTGGTTGACGATAGAACAATTTTTACTATGTTAATTAATTAATACAGATAGATGGCATACAGTACAAAGCTGTCATGTAAGTATCCTACTATAAGTAACAGAAAAATTGACAGAAAATAATGATGCTACACAGGCTCAAATAACTTGCCTGCAATGCGAGAACAGAACACATCTCAGAGGCGAATTGTTGGCCAGAAACTTGCTGATTTTTTGTCAAGGGCACAAACACGATGTGCACCTCTAGAAACGTTGTTAGAAGAGAATAATAATCATATACTCTTTTGTTTCTATTAGTCTGTTTTAATGCACTTAACTAGCCTACGCACTCACCATATGTTATTACATCAGTTACCACTTTTAGCTTAGTCAGTTTCCAGGTAAACAAAACTTTGGACTGGGCAGGACTCTAGAGGTTTTACTTGACTGGTGGTGTAGGTAATAAATTTAAAATTTGTCCATTGCTGTAATAGAACATAAGGTCACATTCTTGGGCTGAAATAAAGTGAACAACTTCATATGAAGTTGATTCTTATAATGTGCTATTTGTTATTATTTCTGACTAATTTCTGTTTTCAACTCTTACATGTTGTTTTGGATTATTTACTTGGATCTGCCTTTTTAAAGATTGACAATAAAAAGTAAATAAATAAATGGGCAAATAAATTAATAGCTTAATGTCAACTAGTCCTTCTGTATCAACATTTATAGATGCCAGCATAGACATGGTCACTTCTATATAAGCCTTTGTATAGGCCAGTTTGGTGTTTTTTTGTCTTGCCCTAGTCTGTTTGTTCACCCCTTATGTATTGACCCTTTGCTTGTACTTTGGATTTTGACTCTCTCAGTGTGTTTTTGGATTGTTTGCTTTCTTCCATTAAAGTCTCTGTTTTTATCCTTATCCTTACATAACCACCTTGGGTCACATTGTCTGACAGGAAGACATTCATTTAAAAAAAAAAAGACAAACTGTTCAATTAATAGCAGATTTGGTAGCTGAAAATATGTTAATGCAATGAGTAATAATCATCAGTACATCTGGTGTAATCCTAGGTTTAATCCACTGGAAAAAAGAAAAAAAGAAACAAAAACCATTCATTAGGATTTGGATACTGTCTAACCAATCAGAATATCAAAGCATAAAATCATGCATTCTGCCTCAGCATGCATGACCTGAAACCCTCAAAACCCCAAATCTTTAAGACCAAACCTAGCTAAACACTTTTACATTCTATGCAATTTCATGCAAGAAACTATTTCAGAAAAGTACTATAGAGACATGTATTAGAAACATCAAAATGCAGAAAAGATAGCCAGCCTAATCAGGAATGGGTTTGTTCAAAGATTTATTCGGCATGATTCGGATATCTACTGTCCTTTCGGTTCTTATCTTTTATGAGTCCAGATGCAATGAAGGAGCCATTCAAATAGCTGTCGTCATTGGTGTTTGCTTTTAATTTGATGAAGCCCTGTTCATCTTTTTGACACATTCTCTAAAAGTTCATTGGCATGCTCAGCTGGATTCTGCCATCTCAGCCTGAATATCAACCAGTTCTAGTTCATGGATCCAGCACCAGCTTTTCCTTCAGCCCCTCGTTCAGAAGCAATTAAGAGCAAGAAATTGTGAATTAACTCATGGTAATCGGGACAAATGAAGCCAAGGTGCACTGACACCGCAATTTGCACAGTTCAGCTGCTCCCATTAATGAGACACTGTAGGTCATTTGCAGTGGCTCAGAGTGATTAGTAGAGAAGCAAGCCTGCATGAGTGGCATTTTCCACATACTTACTGTTGGGGACAATACATCATTCATATGGAACTTAGTAGGGAGACACAAAAGGTGTTTAGGTTGCATGATTTAAACAAAAATTGCGATATGGTGGTGAAGAAGGTAGCATTGCTGATTCACAGCTCCAGGGTCTGTGGTTCAGTCCTAAGCTCAGGTTGTGTAATTTCTCTGTATGTTCTTCTGTTGTCCATGTGAGTTTCTTCTAGGTTCTCTGGTTTCCTCCTACCTTCCAAAAACACACTAGTAGAAGGATCGGCTACTGTAAATTGCCTCTAGATGTGATTGTGAGATACCCTCTAGGTGTGATGTGATGGACTGATGTCATATCCAGGGTACTATCTCTGGTTTTCACCACAACCCTGACCAGGATAAAAAATAAATGATTTACACAAAGTTTAAACATAGTTCTTTGTTATGTTACAATGTGATATGGCATGATTGACAAAAAACAGTGCACTTATTTGAATAAATTGTTTCTGCAGTATATTATTCCAATTACGAATGTATAATAAAGTCAACACAATAATTTGTTAATAAAATGAACAGACAATACACAATGAATCTCTCATACGCACTCATTGGAGCACTGCAGGCAGCCTGGAGCACATAGCCAGCATTGCACAATGCATCCCATTATTGTAATGGTAGATAGAGAAATGCACCAATGATTCTGAACTGTGCAACACACAACAGTTCATTAATTTTAATCAGTGAAAAGTTCAAAAGACTAATGAGAGCTGAGGAGAATGCTCACTGCCAGTTTCTCTTCACTGTGCTCTGTGTATGAGTCTATTTTTGTCCCTACAAAACAGTTGATTGCAATATTATTTTTGTATGAAACTCATTTGGATGACATGTTGATGTTCCTCAAAGGTTAGAAAAGTTCTAGCAACAAGACAACCTCAATTTGTAACTGTTAATAATGGAATGTGGCACGCCATGCCTGCCTAATGCCTGGCCCACACTACAAGAGTTACACAATCCTAACCAATGTTAAAAATGTGAGAGATTTCAGAGCTGTTTTGTCTCGGATCATCCTTCAGTCATCAAAGCTCTTGGTGAGTCACTCTCACATATGCAAATGGATACTAATTAACACGGCATGCATAAATTATTTTCCCAATTTTCCATGTTTGTGACGCAAACGTCAATATGTAAGGGCATGTAAGGGTTAATACCACAGCAATTTGGCAGTGATTAAAATTTATTTATTAAATAATGTACACTTTTTAATTGTGCATGGTTAAGTTTAATGTTCTGCAACATCCACAAGACCAGTTAGTTCCTGTTATAACTAATGTTATAGCAACAATAAACAGTCCTTCTCTCTTTTGAAGTTAATGATGCACAGCTTGTCATGTTACAGAGAAACCAGACAGAGCAAAGTCCTCCGTCTTGAAGACTTTTCCGGGTCTGAAATCTAAAAGGAACAACTTTTCCAAAGCATCTGCCATACAAGTCCCTATGAATTAGCTGTTACTTTAGAAACAGCAATGTGTATAAACCCTTGCTTTCCAGCTGGCACTACTGTCAGAGTGTTATGGAAAATTAATCAACGACTTCTGTCCAGGTCCAAGATTTCAACAGTGCTGTGGTGTAATTGCTGTATCATTCATATATATATATATATATATGACTTCTTCCAATCTCCCAGAGATCAGACATCATGTAGGTGACATAAACATTCATCCATCTTCCATACTGCTTATCCTACACAGGGTCACAGGGAGCCTGAAGACTATCCCAGGGATCTCTGGGCATAAGGCAGGGGACACCCTGGACAGGGTGCCAACTCACTGCAGGGCACAATTGCACACACATTCCCATACTACAGACAATTTGGCAATGCCAATCAGCTTATAATGCATGTTTTTGGACTGGGGGAGGAAATCGGAGTACGCTGAGGAATTCCCAGAAGCACACATTGCAGAGGTGGCATTCGAACCCCCAACCCCAAACATGCAAGGCAAACGTTCTAACCGCTAAGCCACCTTTCCCCCAGTGATGTAAAAAATAACAACTAAATACTTTGTTACTAATACTTAAAATACTTCCAAAGTATCCATCATCCCTCTATGACTGTAGAGATGGTTCAAACAGATGCATTATCTATTCTGTGTGATGTGCTTGGTAGAGCTGAATAAAAATTACTTCAGAAGGGCTTTTGGTGAATAAATGATGCAAGTTTTTTCCCCAGTACCTTTCAAAACAAAATTACACACTACACATGCACTGATTTAGTCGTATCTGCTTTGATAAACAAGCATGAGTCGTAGTCTACTGCTATGTGTTTAGTCTGCAGTGGGCCTCTAAAACTCATTTTCATTTAGAGGTTGAATCTATGAACACCCTTGAGCCATATCGGTCAGTTCATTGGGGTGGTGTTGGGGCTGTGTTTGGCTCATGAAGAAAGAAGACGGTGAAGTTAAGGATCAACTGCTCAATAACACATCGATGACTCATGAGAAGACTCTTCAACTCCCCAACACCCTGTCCTTTCCTCTCCTTTACCCTCACCTTCCCTTCTCCCCTTCTCTCTTCCACTTGCCCTCTATCGTCCTTTGCTCTGATGGATTATCCAGGCCTTTCTCTCAATTATTCAGCACAGGGGACTCTGATGGGATGCTGCACCATTCTCTGGAAAAGGACATGACTACTCTATCGGTTCTTCTTCTTCTACAAAGACACAGACAGGAAAAACAAACTGCATCAAAGGTATGAAAAATAGAGAGTAGATCATTAAAAACTTTATGAACCTGCAAATCAGTTGATTCTTAACAAGATGCCATCTGAATATTATGTATCTTGCAACATGCCATACGATATCGAGAGAGTCCACAGGAACTGAATTTGAAATTGTGATAGGAGTAGGGATGAGGTGATAGTCTATAGATGATCTACTGATATCAAGAACTATAAACTGGACCATTCAAATAACGTGTTTACTATTAGACATCAACAACCCTAAACTGGCTGGTTAATGGTTAAGTCGTCTGACAGGATGTTAATGGTCTGTAGATGTTTTTTGACTGTCTGTAGAGTGTCTACAGTGGACTATCCAAACAGTGTTACTTAAAGCATTTGTTGTGGCAGTGCTTTGCCAAATTCTTCTAAAACATAAAGCCATCTATATGCAAACAGTAGGCCATCAACAGCCTCAGAGCTGTTATTTTACCAAAAGAAAGTTAAAGTTATAGTTTTTATTATAGGCAAGTAGTTTAACTCAGGATGCTTTATTATTCTGGATTAAACTCCTAATTCCTCTGTATTTAAGTATTAAGGAGCAAAAGGTGAGTGAGAACCACAGAATTAATATGCTTTACAAATGCTCTCAGAATCTCATCACAGACAAATCAGACTAACCTTACCTTACAAAAGACGGTTTCCCAAAGTATCCTTAATGAACCTGAAAGCAAGATGGAGGATTTCCAAATTTTCCTTTCAGGAAATGCCCTGTTCAAGTGAAGCAAATAAAGTTCTTTGCACTTTCTGGTTTCAGTGGGGGACTACCTTCCCAGTCATAAATAAAAATAGTAATTTTTATTATATAATAATAATAAAAAGTTTATTTATATGGTTTAGATTAATTTACCTTTTTTTCTTTGGAATCTGAGTGGACAAAAGAACCCATCACTCTGACACAGTGACTTGATGGAAACCAATAGATCATCCTGGAATAAAATTTATCTAGTGCTGGCCAGTCAGGTTTCCAAGCAAGTCTTTGGGAAGGAGCCACTCTTGACCTGTAAAAACCTAAGTGGGAAAAAAACGTATCAACACACAAGCAGCTACAGAGAGAGACAGAGAAAGGTCATCAGAGAGTTCTCCCTCCATTCCACTGATTCACCAAAATAAAGCACATTCAATAACAAGTTACATAAGGGAGAAAAACAATCAATTTCTCAGGTCAGTTGGGAACAAAAAAAAGAAACTTGTGTACTGCAACAATACTATGACATTGATGACACATTTACAAGGCTTCCTGCACTCTTATAAAAAGAAGTAAAAAGACACTCTTATGGGTTCTTCACTTGTCCCTCTAAGGCAGGGGGATTCAACTAAAACTTGTGAAGGTCCAGCAACATACACTAAATTTCCCTGCTTACAAAAGTCTGGATAAGCAAATAATATGACTGAAAGGTTTTTTTTTAATGTTTTTTAATGCTTAACCATTAGTGATTAGTTAATGGCTATAAATAAGACAATAAGAAGTGGTTATGTTTTGTTTTGTAGTGGCGTTTCCACTACACTTTGTAGTGCCAGTTCCACTATACTCCACTGTTACCACTTTTGACTAGCACCACTGACTCAGATCAGACATCTGCGATATCTGTTTTGCTCTTGAAATCTGCGAATAAAAGCATAGTTCTTTGTCCAGTAGATTTAAAAAATTCTTTTTTTCTTCATAAGCTTTTCTTTTTGAACTAATCGAACTAATTAGAACTACTTTCTTTACTTCACTAATTAGATCAGAGGTAAATCTATGAAAGTGTGTGCAAACTCTTCCCCTTCTCGATGAGTTGCTTTCAGCTAAATAATTGCCAGCAGCTCCCAGTTGATGACCTGTGCTCTAAGGGTACCCTTAATGATCTACTTAAAGTATTTAGAACCCTACAACCATGTGAGTTTCAAGTAGAACTCTTCTAGGAAGCCAAGAATATTTAAGAATCTAAAGAACCTCTCAATAAACACTTGAAGAGTTATTTTTTTTCTCTGTGTTACTACACATCAGCGGTGGTGCTGCTTCATCAGTTTTCTACTGATTAACCATATAGTAATTCCTATTTAAAAGTATCCTTCACACACAAATGTTAATTTCAGTAATAATGAGGATGCATTGGTGATGAGTTTTCATTTAGGAACAGTGCTGAGAGACCATAAAATCCAAGAGAATCTCTCCTACACTGATTAGCTAAAGACTTCTAATCACTTCACTGCAGTCGTCACTTTCTAATCTAAACTATGGGGTGCACATAGAACAGCCGTAACTCACCCAAGGTCAAAGCTGAGGAATGCACAGAGTGTACAAACTTTTAATGACTACTTTTAAGGACTACAAAATGCTAAATTATCCTTATTGGTTATGTCCAATGACTTTTAACAAAATGAAATGCTTAACTGAACATAAGAAATAAACAGTGAGGCCATTTTTAAGCATATACTTACAAATTGCAGCAACAGAATGCAACCCAAAAGATCAAGCACATGTACTTGGATTATATCAGTTATTACTTTCAATATTTGAATCATATGCTGATGACACATGGACAATACAGGCAGAAAGAAAAAGGCTGTTCTAGGATGATTTCTAACTTGTATTTTTACTCTCTTAATGGAATAAAGTCTGTTTTTTAAGTATCAATACTTTACTTGACTTATTGGTTGACCTAACAGTTATGCATTGAGATGAGACAGGACACAAGTGCATATATTTAGTGTAGGTTTTATTGAGGTGGATACCATAATGATAGCCATGATTCATAGTGTGGGTCATTACACATGTAGACAGCATCAAATAAGGGCAATCCATATTCAAAAATAATAAAGGCACTAGTCAGAAAACTGGAAACAATAAAGAAGAATGAAAGCTCAAAACTGCATGATACTATTGGCAAGACTTCGCAATGAAACACTGAAACAGCAGGGTACAAATAGACTAACTAATTAAGCACCAAAAAAATTGCACATAGCCCAACAAAAACAAAAATATATGGAGAATGAATGGCAAGTGAATTGGGAATTCATGACGATACATTTGTATACTTTCGCTTTTATGGTTTCTACTTTACTTTGGGTGAAGAGTTTGAAGCTTATTTCAACTCAGTTTTATTTAGATGGGTAATTGCACTTTTACTTGAGTAAAGAATTTGGGTACTTTTATCTGCTCTGACTACTTGTAATGCAACTTATTTCCATAGATCATAGATCATAGACTTAGATCAATGTCATCATACATAAAGGTCTGGAGTAACTCAAAGATTGCTGAATGGCTAAACCTGCACAAAGCACTTAGTTGAATATAAAGACCCACATAAAATATTTATATAAAATTGAGAATATGTCTGCTTTCACATGCCTGTGTTTCAGAGATTAACAGTCAGAGTGGTATTTCTGTAGGTTAGAAGTATGAATATCTTATACGGGAGTTAAAAGAACCCTCAGAAGCCATTTGGAGAGCTCTTTAAAGCACACCAATAGGCTCTCACGCAGCTCTAGAGAACAGCATTATTCTATTCTATCAGCTGAGTGCACAGGCAGTTATATAAAGCACTTATGTTAACTGATATCTGGCAGATAGTTGTCCTTTTTCTCAGAGAAACAATACTCAATGAGGTGTCTATGATTCTACTGATTTTTTTTTTTTATTTGGCTACTAATGACTGAGCTCAATTTCATTGTGTCTTGCCCATGGTAATTTATGTTCAATTTTGCCCCTTTCCGAAACGTGATAGTAATGTTTCCCATGAATATAAAACAACAGTAAGTTTAGCTTTACACACTGTGCTTAAATGTCTATAACAGGTTTACTGTATCATGAAATGTTTGTTTTTGTAGAAGGAAAACTTTCAAATAGAAATATTAAGTAGGACATCCTTTATCATTTTCATCCTGTAGGAAAAAGAGTAATAAAATAATAACGAAAAAAGAAAAATAGTTACCAGAAGTATGTGTAATAATAATTTATATTTAAATATGGACAACGGCACAGCTATATAAAATCACAATGTTATCTGTATAATTAAAATGTGAATTGTTAAAGTGTGAACGCTCATGTATTTTGGGTGGGTGCCCGATAGTACTCAAAGCAATTGTGGTAAACAGAATTTGCCATTTAATTAAGGAACAATCTGTCATCAACCAATCTTGTCATAGTAATAACTTTAATAAGTATAGGAATTAAAATACCCCATTCCACTGGAAATGGCTAAAATAGCATGTTAATAATAATGGGAAAATGACAGTGATAAACCACATCGGGTTCCACTCCTGTCAGCCA